TTTATTAATTACAATACTTATGAGGATTAGTACTGAAGATACTACCATAAGGGTATGATGATAATAGTATAATAATGATTGTAAATTGACTCTTTTAGATTTGTAGTCTACTTAGAAAAAATTAGAGCATTATTGACTCAAAATTAAACAAAAGAATGATGTAAAAAGTATGTACAATTGGAAATAATTTTTTATAAGGCTTAGGGTGCTGAATCAATTTATCTTACATGTTAACTATTGATAGATGAAAAAATAGCTATTGCAAGTATAGATGCCAAGGCCTTTCAATCGTTTTTTAAGTTATTGGGGCTATTTTATTTTTCTTGTTTTACACAAGTGCTTGAGAGCTAGATGCCTTTAGCAGTAAAGATAGTGAATATGTCACTGTTGAGAAAAACGTTATTTTGTAAGTTAGGATTAAATGATTTGATAAACTATTATCTAATTATTTTTCATATTATTTTTAATCTTTTTTATTTAAATACTAAATTTTAATATGAGGGAAAAGTCATCCCCAATCTTTGCTTTAGGTTTTTGTCCTTGGGACTATTAATGTGTGCAACATTAATTTGTGCGTTGGGCCTTGGTTAATTCAAATTAGTTGATGAGATCCTATCACACTATGCACACTTGGAGCCAACATTTTTAGTAGGTATCTATAATGTTAACCATAAGTGAGCAACAGAAATTGCCAAGAGGAATGTTACATTAATCTTTTTGTAAGCTGAATTTTAAAAAACTAAATAAGTAAATGTGCAGATAGGAAATATTATTAAACAAATAAGTAAAGTAGTGCTCGATCCTCCCTCTATCTTTTCAAATTTGATCTCCATTGTTCTCTATACTTGTTTGCCAACATCATTTTCCCATTGTTCTCTTTTAGTAGGGCATCAAAGAGTAATGGTTCCAGAATTAAGATGATGTGTTTATTTGAATTGTATAGCTAGTTGAAATACTAATGGTGGGGGGAGGAATTGAGGGTTTTTTAAATTATGATGATTTTTTTGTTCTATGTTGATTTCCTCATAGGTCAGCCTGTGTGCTGACACAAGAATTTGTATGCCAACTAAACAGATGCGTGTGCTGATATGCACAAGAAGGGCTGTTTGTACAAGTAATCACTCATAGTACTCTCATGAAGAAAAAAAATTATATTGATTCCTTTCTCACCCACTACTTTCAATCTCAGAAGAACATATTCTTTAGATTTTATTATTTCGCTCAATAATAGATAATGTGGGACAGAGTAAGAGGATGGAGACTATCGAAGATGGTTTTTGCTTATTCTTAGGAAATCAAAGAAGTGGTTAGAAATTAGACTTTAGATCGAATTCCAAAGAGAAGATGTAAGAGGAGATTAATTGCACAATTCAGCTGAGAGGATCGTTTAATTACCCTTTAGGAGAACTAATTCAAGAAATCAGAGATAATTAGAACCGCATTTAAGATCACCAAGGTGTAAAGAGTGGCTATCCTATGATTCACAAAAAGTCCTAAGAGCAATGACCTTTGAATAGACCAAATTTACAAAAGGAGAGGGCTCAACATGGTAGACGTGAAGGAGGTGAAAAGTGGTGATAGATGGACAGTGAGGAGGTGGCACGGCGGCGTCGGGACGGTCGATGAGGAGGCGGGATGGTGGCAACGAGGCGTATGGCGAGGAGGTGGAAGCAACAACGAGGCAGACGGCAAGGAGGCCGAACGGCAACAATGGGACGGACGGTGAGGAGAAGAGATGGCGGTGACGAGGTAGACGGCGAGGAGGCAGAATGGCGACAATGAGGTGGACGGCGAGGAGGTAGAAACAGTGACAACGGGTTGGAAGGTAAGGAGGCGGAACTGCGACTACGGTGCGAGAGAAAAGACAAGTGGGTTCGGTGACAGGGCGGATGGAAATCAGGTGGAACGAGGGGGCCGACAACGGAATGGAAGGACGACGAAGTGGGAGAAGAGAAAGAGAGAGATCGAGAAAATAGGGGAAGAAATAGAGGGAACGAAGGGTAAGGGATTCCGGCAGAGGAGAAGAAGAAAGAAGTGGGAAGAAGAAGGGAGAGGACGGGAGTGAGAGTGAGAGAATGTGAGAGAAAGGGAGAGACGGAAAAGAGGGAGGGAGAGGAGGCAAGAGAGAGGGGAACGAACGAAAGTGAAACGGATAGAATGAGAGAGAGATGGAGAGAGCGAGAGAGAATGGACGAGAGAGAGAGAGAGAGAGAGAGAGAGGGAGAGGAAGACAAGATGGGCTATTTCAAATTCCAAAAGAGTTGTCCTTTCAGATGGCATTCCATCAATTTATGAAGGAAGAGATGAATGAGAGAGAAGGTAGTTGGACGACTGGAGACACCTCTTGGGTTGAGATGATGTCTCTTGGTGGGGCGCGCCTTATTCCTCTCCTATGGACCCATTGGATGATAGGCCTTTCTCCATGGGCTCTTCTTCTTATTTTTCTTGGGCCTATTGGATAAGGTGAATCCTCTTGTTGGTCCTAAGGGATCTAATAGAGGTTGACCCAAGATTCCGATCCACCAAAGGTGGCAGTCGCTGGTTGGCTTGAATTAAATTGATCATCACATTAGGGAGGACCCTAATTCGGGCTGACCTTCTTGGGAGGAAAGGTCTTGATGTTGGTGGAGATTCTACTTGAGGTTGATCATATTCTTGAGTTGAGATGAGTTGATTGGCTCAGTCACTCCATCAATAGACATTGGACTTAATGAGATTAGTAGCTCAAATCTTGAGTACATTTCGGTAAAAACCATTCAACACATCTTCTCCTCTTCAGCCAAGCAAGATTATAAGCACCACGTGTCCTCACTAAATGGACTCTCCTCTCACAACCCAAGGGCCTGATGGAGATCATTGATTTACATTCAATAGTTTTTTGATTTCTAGATAGAGTTGATGAAGAAGATAGAGAAATTCACTCTTTGCTAAAACATGCAGTATGAACATATCAATGAAATACAGTAAATTTTTGAGTTGATTAATTATTTTTCAATTGAGAATTATTCTCTTAGAGTTGGCTTTTGTCTTGTACGGGTTTCCCAATTTTTTTGAAATTTCAGGGTTTGAGTTGACTTGTTAAAGTTTTTCCATTTACCAGAATGCATGGTTCTCATATGCAGACCCTCCAATTTTTAGCTTTTCTTATTCTTTTAATTTTTTGAATTCAAATTGATAGAGAACAACTTGAAATTTACGTTGGCCTCAAGTCTTTAGATTTTATTTCACTTTTTGTCCATGTACTAGTCTTAGATGTCAGTGGTGAGTAAACATTTCAAATCTGAATCTTCGATTTATTCTGTATTTTCTATGACTTGATAGTTTTAGTAACTTAAAGAACATGTCTAACATCATGTGAGAAGAATCTATTGTTGATAAACACTACGAAGAAATGATTATATCATCAAAGATATAATACGGATGAAATATTCTATTTTTTTGTATGTGTCAACTCATGGATCTATATCGAAACATGCCATATGACCCTATATGACATATATTTAAGCATTTTGTATGTATACCTTTGTTGAATTTGTTATTATTTATTTTCAAATTTATAAGGTTGGAAATAACCTAATATCAAGGATGAAGACTTTGAATTTAAACATTAGACCTGAAACCATAATAATTGGACCAATAATTTAATGTGTGTTTAATGAAATCTGGCTTTTGTATATGTTAACATCATAGGGATTATAAGTTAAAAAATGAATAATGATTCAGTTTCATATTTTCTTGAATCTAAACATGAGTTAGTGACTTTAAAATAATTTTATATCTATAGTCAGTGGAACTAGGTGAATCAACAATGTTTTCCTATTATAGTCTGCTCTTATTGACTACCTTAGAGAGGCCAATATTGACATTTAAAAATGGCATTGATGACTATATATTGATGACCACCTTCTTTCATTTTTATTATGATTTTTTCTTAGAAATCTAGATCCAGAAGTTGACTTCTTTTAAGTTATTTATGAAGAATACATACATACATATATATATATATATATATATATATATGTATGTTAGGAAACTCCAATGGAGCTGTGAACCCCATGCTGCATATGATTTAGCCCAAAAGCTGTTGTCAAATGAAGAATGGAAGGTTTTTGACCTAGGTGGAGGAATTAATAAGATCTATGTTGAAAGGCCTAGAAAGTAATAGAATGAAGTACAACAAAGTTTTAAACCAACTCAAGTGAATCAGAGACTCAAGAGACGTGAAGACTTTATTTCACCCAAATTCAACTTCAAATGCCCCCCTAACAGATATGGTAACATGTTTAAGGAGCCTAAATCTTAAATTCACACATTTTATTCATGTAAAATAATCTCCCTATTCTATTTAGGGCATTCCTATTTTGTTAGGGGCGTTCTAATAGAATCCTTCTTTTTCATAAGAAAGTTTAATTCATTTTTTTCCAAATTTTCTAGGATCATAATATATTTTCTTTTTTATAGGTTAGTTATAACTAATTTTCAGCCTATAAATAGTGACTCCCTTAGCTCCAGAAGAAGGCATATTTTTATCAATCAATCTCGAGTTCTCTTCTTTTTTGGAGGTTCTCTCTTTCCACTGGTGGATTTTAGTATCTTTGTGGACTTAGGAAGTCATTTTCGATCTTGTGGATTGAGTATTAACTCTTTGTGGACTCAAGGGATGAAATCTCTTCGTTATGTGATTTCAAGGCAAAGAGTTTTCAACTAATACATTTTCCTTTTAGATTCTAAGTTGTGATTTTGCTTCTAGAATACACAGTCAAAGCTGAAATGTGATCAAGTTATCAATTCTTTAAATTTTCGCTGTCAGTATGACTACATCAGAGCATTATGCTGATCGCTTTCAAACAAGATTTTCTCGGGAGATATTTGACTGAACTAAGATATCAGAATCATAAAGAGGTGCGTGCACATCAATCTGTGTTTCTCACTGCGCCAACAAGGCCTGACGCTTGATCTATATAATAATCAACCCAAGACCTCTGCTCCACAGTCAGGAGATGGAGAATATGGTGCTTATCCTCATCTCTCTGGCCCTTTCCCTCTTCCTGGCTTATTTCCTCAGTCCTCTAGTCCTCAAGTTATGGCCGGAGAGCGAAAGCCTCCCCCCAGGTCCTCCGGCTTTCCCCGTCGTGGGCAACCTTCTTTGGCTACGCCACTCCTTCTACGAAATCGAGTCCGTCCTCCGGCGCCTGCGGGATACGTACGGTCCGATCGTCACTCTCCACATCGGTTTTGTTCCTGTTGTTGTCATCTCCGACGCGGACCTCGCCCACAAGATCCTCGTCCAGAGAGGCGCCCTCTTTGCTGACCGCCCCCCAACGCTGCTCGCTCTCCGGGTCCTCCATGGGAACCAGTGCGTTGTGAGTGAGAGCCACTTTGGCCCCGCCTGGCGGGTTCTCCGCCGCAACATGACTGCGGTGATGCTCCACCCATCGCGGATCAAGGAGTTCTCACATTACCGGCGGCGGGCGGGCAGAGTTCTCATAGGCGAACTTCGCCGGCAGGCCGACAGAGGGGAGCCGGTGGTGGTGCTGGACAGCTTCCGGTACGCGATCTTTTCACTGTTGTGTTGGATGTGCTTCGGTGAGAACTTGGAGGAGAAGACCGTTCGGGAGATCCAGAGGGTTCAACACGACATCACTCTCCATTTCAACAAGGTCAACGTTTTTGTTTTCTTTCCCCGAGTGGGAAAGTATATTTTCCCGCGTCTGTGGGAGATGATCGGAGAAACGAGGCGCAGGCGGGAGGACCTTTTTGTCCCCATGATCAAAGCCCGCCGGGAGCGGATCGAAGAGGTGAACAGAAGGGGGGAAGAGAGCTTCCAGTTCTCGTACTTAGACTCGCTGCTAAACCTGGAGCTCCCCGACGAGGAGGGAAGGAGTCGAAAGCTAACAGAGGAGGAGATCATCTGCCTCTGTTCCGAGATTCTCTCCGGTGGCACCGACACGACAGTGGCTGTGCTGCAGTCGATCATGGCGAACCTGGTGAAGCACCATGACATACAAGCGTGGGTATACGAGGAAATCTCCGCCGTCGTCGGGGACAGGGAGGACATGGAAGAGGACGCCCTGGGCAAGCTGCCCTTTCTCAGGGCCGTGATCATGGAAGGCCTACAGCGCCACCCCCCAGCACACTTCCTCGTGTCTCATTCACCGACGGAGGACGCGACCGTGGGAGGGTACTTGATACCTCGAAGAACAACCGTCAATGTCATGGTAACGGAGATGAATTGGAACTCGAAGGTGTGGTCGGATCCAATGGAGTTCAGGCCGGAGAGATTTCTCCTCGGCGGAGAAGGTGAAGGGCTGGACATAACCTGTAGCAAGGAAATAAAGATGCTCACTTTCGGGGCAGGAAGGAGGGCCTGCCCCGGGTTAGGTCTCGCCATGCTACACCTCGAGTACTTCGTAGCCAATATGGTGCGGGAGTTCGAGTGGACGGCGGCCAATAGGGAGGTGGACATGTCAGAACAGATGGAGTTCACTTACGTCATGAAGACACCTCTGAAGGCCACTATCCTGCCGCGCGTCAGATAATAAGACGCAGATCTTGTAGCCGATGCTGGTTGTCTCTGTTGGGTGGTCATCTGGAAGGGATACCGTTGGCCTTGATTCTGGTGTAATGTGTTAGATGAGGGCTTGTCAGATCTTGGTTAATAGGCTTGTCACGTCTTGGTCGTTATATTTATGGACTTACCAAGAAGTGACAAGCCTATTAACCAAGATCATGACATTGTGTTGTAAACTAAATGATCAGACTAATTGGGTTTGAGTGCAACTAGAATGCAATGAAATGATTATCTCATGATGTATTTACAGATAGCATACAAGTCCAAAAAATAACATTTATACAAAAAAATATTTTTACCATAAAAAACTTCCTTTAACATTATACAAAACAACCCAAAAAATGTTTTTCACATTTTGCATCTAAAAACTTTAGTGAAGATTAAATGGATTTATATTACCTCTATGACATGATTGCAAATTCGAAAGAGACCTATATAGGGTAAATATAAAGTTGGAATGAACATTCTATGTCCATGGTTGAATTCTCCAACTTTGATATTAATCTTATTGTGAATTAGCCTCTAATAAACTTTGTTAGGTCTTTAGGGTTTCATAATAAGGATAACACTATCTGATACTGACGTGACTTAATCATTGTATAATAAATCACACAAATTTTAAATTTATAAATTAAAACATACTAATTTTCAGATATTTAGAAATATTTATGAATAAATATATCAATAATAATTCAATAAAAATTCCAAAAATAGTAAAAAAAATTAGGTCAATCATAGAGATGTAATATAATATTAATTAATATTTTAGAATTTTCTACAAAGAATATAATTTTTTATAAATTTTAGACTAAAAAAAAAAAGAAAATAAATTTAAAATTTACGAAAAAGAGAAATAAGGTGCAGACATGAGGATGACATCAATGTCTTGAGGAATGAGATTCGGGTAGAACTAAAGTTTTGTTCGATAATTCTTATGTAAGTGATTGTAGATAATTTAATGGGTTAAATTAAGATCTGTAAAGTGAGAAGAATCTTAATTAAATCAAAAATATTTTAATAACTTAAAATCACACAAATTATCACTAAATTAAGTGAAAATAAAGTTGAAAGTAGGAAAGATAAAGTTTTGGCTTCACAATAGTGATCGTTAGAATTCTATATGTTTGAAAGAAATATTGTGTCCATGGCTTTGAAGGCTCTCTTTGGACATAGACGACATGGGAAATCTCTATATCTTCTTGTGAAGTCTAGATCAATGAAGTGAGTTGTTGAATCATCTCTGATGGCTGTCAATTGACGGAGTAAAAAAATAACAACTTTGTGACACTTTAGCAACTATCACTCGATGGAGATGAGTTGGATAGAGGTGGGGTGCATCTTAGGGAGTTTCATCTTCAAATTAGCACAACAAAAAAAGGTTCTTCATCGCATCTAGTATGCTTTTAAGAGGTGACAACTCATTCCTTGGTAGATCATCCTCTTTTAGATGATGACTTATTCGTTGATCAATCGGAGATAATTTACTCGATGAATTCGTGATCTTTTTATCTAGAATCCTTAAGCAATTTTACGAATGATGTTCCATGAATCACATTGGTGAGAGTTTTGTCGATGATTGAGCGATTAAGGTAACTTAACCCTTCACAAAAAAATTATAGAAAAATCACAATTTAATCAGATAAAAGTATGAATTTTGACTCTCGTAAGATTTAAATCCCTATCGGTCACTCGCTTTTCTGAGAGAGAGTAAAATAAGTATGAAAATATCCTTATAAAGTGATGTCATTAGAGTACCTCATTCTGATAAATAAGAAGTCTTTTACGTATAGAAATTATTAAAACATTATGAGGAAGGTGTGACGATCGGTTTAATCTCACAGTGGTTATATACTGAATTTTGAGATGAATAGATAGTAATACGAGATTTGAGAATCAATGAGTCCCTTTCTCATGTGTGTACGAACATTCTTTCTCCCATGCTCAATTAACCACTAGTGACGTGAAAAGAGAGTGACACACACCTGACCTTTATCCGTCCATCCTTAGTTGCTTGAGCCCCTATTTGTGCCCCCACTCAGCTATACTTCCAACCTACTTGTAGGCCGGCTAGTTGACAAGTTTTCCCCTTTATCTATCTTTTTTATTTATCTCAAATAGGATCATTCAAATTATATAAATTCACATAAAATCACATTATTAGTAAAAATTCACATTAACTAATTGAAAACTACTTTTCATAAATTAACACAAATATAAATCTATTTATCATGAGTTAAGGCTAAAACTATATTATTAATTAATTATTAACTCATGATAATGAAGACTTATCAGGCACACTAGAGAGCATTTCTCATTATTAGAGAGAGTCACATAAGTAAAGGGATAATTTTCAAGATATCATATCATTCATATAATAGGTAAGCATAACATGACAAACTTGTCAACACATTGATTCCTTTTTAAAATGATCTTTTAACGCTATTATCTATGAAAAATATGTATTTTGAAATATGAAAAATAAAGCTCTACGTATTCTATGTAAGCTCTTTTTTATTGTTTAACAAGTTTACTTGTACATGGTAAAATGGAAAAGCTATCGTCATTAACTTGATTTATATTTTTTAAATAGGGCAAGTGGTCGTTATAAAAGAGGGATGATTATAGTTATTAAATTTAGAAAGTTACTATATTATGTTTGTGTGACAACCTTTGTACTGATTGACATGGGTTCTTACAAATGTTAATGCAATACTTGTAACTCTTCTCAGCCTTTTTCCTTTGTCCTCATCAACAAGGCTGAGGCTCTTCCTCGTCCTATTCTAGATTTATCTTCAGTTTTAATATAATTTTCGTCATTTAATATTTAGGAGTATACAACCCTCTTAAGTATCTCCTATTTATTTTATTCCCTCACATGTCATATGACATGACTTAGTCATCGTATAATAAATTACGTAAATTTTAAATTTATAAAATTAAAAATACTAATTTCTAAATTTTTAGAAATATTTTAGAACAAAATAAATTAATTATAACTCGATGAAAGGTTTCAAAAATAGTAGGTAATTTCCAAGTTGATCACAAATATGTAAGATAATATTAGGTAATATTTCATAATTTTCTATGATTTTTAAACTAAATGATGAATATAAAATATATTAAAAAATATTCAAAAAGGAAAAATAATAGTGTAGATGTGATTTGGGAAAAAATAGAGTTTTGCTTAGAGATTCTTATGTAAGTGATTACAAAAGATTTAATGAGTTGAATTAAGATTTGTAAAAGACCAAAGAATCGTAATTAAATGAAGAAGGTTTTAGTAACTTGAGATCATGCAAAGTATCACTAAATTAAGCGAAAATGAAGTTAAAAGTAAGAAAGGTAGAGTTTCAGCCTCATGATAGTGATCACTGAAATTCTATGTTTGAGATGATTATCGTGCGATGTCCACAATCTCATGGGCTCTCTTTAAGTATAGATGACTTGAGCATTTGCTAGATCTTCTTTCTAAGTCTAAAAAATGATAGTAGAAGTTAAAGTAGTTAAAAATTGATAAAATAGAGTTCCAATGTCATGGTAGCAATGCATCGGCAATGTGTTAGAATCTTGAGTGTTCGAGATGATTGTCGGGCAACGTCAACAGCTTCAAAGGTTCTTTTAGGATAAAAATGATACGGGCAATCTCTAAATCTTCTTATAAAGTTTAAAAATTAATAAAATAAGTTGTCAAATTAATGTCTACCACTTAGTGGAGTAAAAAAATGACAACATTGTTGTTCTCTAGTAGTTGTCACTTGACAAAGATGAGTTAGATGAAGGTGGGACACATCTTAGAGAACTTCATTCTTAAGTTTGTGTAGTAAGAGGAAGCTCTTCATCATATCTAATTACGCTCTTAGAGGGTGGCAACTTGTCTCTTGATGGATCTTTTTTCTGACAAGAATTTACTCATTGATCAATTGGAGATAATTTACTCGATAATTTTTTGTGATCTTTTTATTTAGAATCATTCAATAATCTAAGTAAGAATAATTAACAAATCGCATTGATGAGATTTTTGCTGATGATTGAGTGATTATAGTAATTTAATCCTTTACTAACAATGTGTAGGAAAATTATAATTTAATTAGATAGAAATATGAATTTTGGCTATGATATGATTCAAACCCTCATAGGTTGCTTGCCTGTATGAGAGAGTGAAATAAGTTTTTAAATCATCAAATATCTCATTCTTATCAATAAAGAGTATTTTAAGTATTAAAATCATCAAAAATCTTTAGAAAGTCGATTTAGTCTCACATTAGTTATTTTATAAGTTTTGAGGCACATATATAATAAAAAAAATTCTAATGATTAATAAGCCTTTCTCTCGCGTGTGTACGGCTATTGCTTACCCTAGACCCAACTAGCCACTAGTGACATAGAAGGGAAGTGATGCACACATGTCCCCTATTGGCCTATCCTTAGCTACTTGAGCTCTTGCTTGTGGCTTTGCCTGACTATGCTTTTAACCCACTTGTGGCCCTAGTTGGCTGGAGGGATCCCTTCTTTTTAAAATTTTTAATTTTATTTTATTTTCTTTCATTTATCTTAAAAATGTGTTTATAAAAATTATATAAATTGACATAAAATCATATAATTAATAAAAAATTCACATCAACTAATTAAAAATTATTTTTCATAATTTAATACAAATATAGGTTTATTTATCATGACTTAAGGCTAAATCTATATTATTAATTAATTATTAACTCATCCTAAAATTTAGTCTATCTTATTTAGAGATTAAAATTTAACTACAAAAATAGATGAAATAAAAGGGGTAGCCTTAGATGCTGGGGAATTTTCAGGTGAAAATCTTCATAAGTGACTTATTGACTATATTAAGTGACTGAATATTTTCCGTTGTTGTAAAGAAAATTTCGTAAATTTCTAATTTATAAATGTTGAAAAATAAGCCAATTTATAATAATTTAATTTATAGGGTTTTTCCAGGTCAAACACAAAGAAGATAAGAAACTAGTTAATTATATTTATAATTTCTAATTGATAGACTAATTTTTTAGATTTTTTTAATTTTAAAAATTTATAAAAATAATTTTAAAATAATAAATTAGGGATTATGACATCAACCAATGTCAACTCGCAAAGAATACCCCCAAATTTGAGTCGTCAGAAATACATCAACTTGTATTTCTCAAAATCAAAGCCAAAATACTTAGAAATAAACTTTGATTTTAAAGGAGAAATTGTTCGTAACACAATGTAGAATTGAGTGAAACTTTTTATAAATTTAAAAGAAAGTAAAATCATACAACATCAAGTTTTATGGAAGAATGGGTTGAATAGTCGATGATTGAATTCCACCTGAATTCGATTGATTTGTATAGGGATGATGCACCAAATGGATTCCTACCAAATTTACAATTGATGAATGACAATCCCAACAATTGTCACTTGTTAGAACTAGTTGACAGTGGTGGTTTGACTCCGAGCATGCCGCGGTGTTCGGAGAAGGATCCTTAGAAGAAATTCTTGGCCATTTGTATAAGGCAAGCATGGGACAAGTTCATGGATGAAGTTCAGCTTTTGTAGTGGCCGAATCAAGGAGAAGTTGAGAAGAAATCTATCATTTGTATCAGATAAGATGATTTGGGCAAATCCAGCATTTGTTGCCGCTAGAGGAGAGAGAAAATGATTATGGAGAATGATAGATTGATCAAAGATGCCCCATTCTTCCTCCTCCCAATGTTTTTCCATCTTCCTCTATGTTAATTCTGTTGATTTTGTCGAACCATCAGCCAAACTTCTTGCTGTAGTCTTTATTTTGAAGTACATATAATAATTTTTCTTCCTACTCATCACTTAAATGAGCTACAATAATAATAGAAAATAAATTATTTTCCTTCAAAATTACACATTTTAAATGAGAAGGAAGAGGTTTCAACTCTAAATTTGAATGATCCACTTCTTTCTTTTTGCTCAAATTTACATTATTTATTTTTTATAATTCTTCAACCACACATCCATCAATAATGTTTAAATCATCAGAACCATCTAAACGATCTATAGCATGACAATCATATGCTTGTAATTTTTTAAGATCATTTGATTCCTCAAATATCTTAATTTCTATGAATTTTTCTCTACAATAAAGTTTTACAATACTTGTAAGAAAATCAATATTCATATTTACTGAATGTTATAAATTTTTTGTTAACAATCTCTACTAAATTTCAGGCAATGGTAGGAAACTTAAATCTTTTGGAGAATTGTTGAGTTCTAGGACTGGTTTCTACTGCAAAATTATGAGTAGATTGATATGATTAGGGCATCATAAAACTGTCTATTAAAATGTATTTCCAGCACTATAAAATCTGCCAAAAATTTGCACTCTTTAACCATTACTATCACATTTTCTAAAATTCTTTAAATTATTTTATGAACCTATCACCAGTGTTAAGTAATGTATTATGAAAAATAAATCAACCAATATCACATGAAATTAAAAGAGCACTAGCATCTCTCAATTTATCTGGTAATTGATTTAATAATAAAGTACTAGTATGCATAAATAAATTTTCTACTTTAGGTGTTCTTTTTGGTGTACACATTTCTTTTAAAACTCTAGTGTATTCAATAATGTGTTCAATGACTGTCAATAAAAGAAGACTAATTTACGCATCTTGTAAAAAAAAATTATTTTCTCATTGTGTTCTTTTTTCTTTTTAGTCTAGTCTCTAGAGCTTTAGAAAATGAAATAATTGTCCTCTCTTCTAGAATTTCCTTGGTAGCATCTATAAAATCCTCTTATACTTTTCTTTGATCTTGTTTTGGGCTGTTTGTATTTTCCTCTTCTTCTCATGATTGAGGATAAGGATCAAATAAAATCCTCCCACTCCTCAATATATTTACTATCCTAACATGTTCATTTTGTGGATTTTTTCTAGATTTATACTATTAAACTCTCCTTATTGAAATCTGATTGTTGTATGGTTTCTTAGATTTTTTATAGGCTGACTAGTTTCTTGGATACATACTTTCAAATTTTCTATGCATCATCATTTGATTCATCATTGCTGCATCACTTGGCTCATTTGCTACATCATATTCATAACATGAGCATTTCAAACAAATCAAGATTGATTGCCACTTTATTCAACAACACTTTCAAAGAGACAACCTTATCTTGGCTTATGTTGTCCTCATTATAGCTTGCCTACATCTTCACAAAGACACATGCTATTACTCATTTTCAGTTTTTCTTAGACAAACTCTTCATATTTATTCCATTGTGAGTTTGAAAGGGAGTGCTAAATGTAGTATTTTGTTTACATTATGGCATTAAAATTCTCATGTTTTTTTAACTCTATGAAAGGTTATATGAAACTTGGCCATGCATGGGCATTTCTTCTTTTCCCTAGTTTGTCCTTTTTTCTCTTTGTTAATATGCCAAGAAAATTTCTCTAGTGTGATGGTGGCCTCAATGTGGCTTCAACCTGCCTAGAAAATTTCACCTAGATAAAGACTACAACACTCACATTTATATTGGGAAGATACATTTGATTAACAAATTATTGAGGCCCATGAAAGTAGTGAGGCAAAAGACCATGAGCTAAAAGCTAATGCAGGGAGAGTCACCACGATTTGTGAGAGTCATCTCTTCAAGAGTATGTTGTTGGCCCTAGATTGGGGTATGCAAAACACCCATTTTATTGTGTATACACGTGCATCATGTTCTGTCAAGGGATTTGGCAAAGTGAATGAGTTCAAGTTCACATTGTTTGTTATAGCAGTTTCCATTCCTATTTCTTCTTGCTCTTCATGCATAGATCCTTTGTCTTATGCTGTCTCTTGCACTCATTGCAAGGTCTTTTGCAGAATTTTGAGTGTCTTAACTAGCTATGAAAATCTAAGCTAGAGTGAGAATTATCATAGATTTATAACATCGGTGTAGGAACTATTATTTGGGTCAAGAAATTGAGTAACCATAGAATATGTGTGAACTTCATTAGTGAGTCAGTTTAACTCTAGATCTGTTGCACTCTTGTTGGGCATTTCAAACATGTAACATAATTTTTTTTATAAAAAATAAGCATTTCAAGCAATTAGAAAACTTTACAAAAGTAAATAAAATTCCCTCTTAAATAATTAAATATAATAACTGAAGCTTGTAAGATTTGTATCTTTGAGTATCAAGTGTTGTCAATACTTTACATGATTAAAGTTTCATTTTGTAAATCTCTTAAGATTAGGACAGTAAAATACATTCAATGGTAAAGATTCTTATCTATCAAGATAATTTGATACCCAAATTGGATACTTAAACATTGTCATGGTGTATTTATATAGAGATAGATCCAATAACTGAAATTTTGTAATATGAAATAAGAGTAAATGAACTTAAATCTAAATACAAGAAGATCTAAGTGATGATCCTTTAATAACATATAATACAATTAATTGAGTTATAATGATTGCACTTATACTACTAATATAATCAAAATAGGAGAATAAAGGTTTATTATTAGAAAAGGCTCCTCTAATAAATACTTTTAGTGCCTTGATCCTAAATGAATTAAAATTAGGCTAACATGCCTAGGTGTGACTGATTTGAGCATGTAGACGGTCAACATGGTTCACAACCTTCCCATGCAGTTAGTTGCTTAACTTGAATTTCCAAGTGCACCATCATTTCCTCTAAACTTAATATTCAACCCTCATCCTATCTCTCTCTCTCTCCCTCCCTAAAATCTCCATGGTCCTCTCCATTCACCCTTGATAATGATCTTAAGATCTAATGTTTTGGTATGTCGTAATATATTACATCATTTCTTTCTTTTATAGTCAAATATTTAGAAATCTTCAAAGCATTGTACAAATTGATATTGAGAAGAGTGTATTTTTTCAAAATTTTTACTTCTTAATTTTTTAAAAAATTTAGGACCAAATTTTCTTATTTTGTATGTGTGAATCATAACCTTTGTTAGTAATTTGGTACTGAGGCTTGCTTGGTTCCCCTCGGTCTACTTTCAAGGCCCATATGGGGTTCGTCAGTTAGTCCAGGGCATCTTTCTCTTTTGAAAATCGTAGTTGCTTAAAAGATAGATTTTCTCTGGATATTCAGGTTTCAAAAATGCGTTTAATTAGGAGAACCTTTTTATTGACATAAGGTTTTTGAAGGGTATTCCAATAGCAAAATAAAGTAAGAGCGGAGTATTCATTCGTTAAATTTATGGGGTTGAAGTATAAATAAAGCTTTTAAAAAATAATGAATTAGGGTAGACGTCGGTTAGACACGTCACCCGTGCCGCCCGGTCGCAGACAGGGGCCCGTTAGAGCGCTAATTCGCGCCAGAAACACTGGACGGCGGGCTAGCGAGGCGGCCGCTGTGGCCCTCCGGCGGCTGCCGCCCCTTGTCCTTCAAATTGGAGCCCTGCTGCACTACCGGCTTCGCGGTGCTACGCGTGGCGTCCGATCGAAATGGACACCGCGAACTGAGGAAGACGTCGACCAGGTGGAGGAAGGCCTCGAAGTCGTGGCAGCAACAGGGGTCAGCGTCCGGCCTCAGGAACGGCGACTCCCAGCTGTCTACTCTCTGCTCCATCTGTACGTGCGAGTACGATCAGGCAGTCATTAGTCGGTCCACCGCGACCCGACACTTGTGCGGTACCCCCGGTCGCCGGCACCCGCGACTTTCCCCTTGAGCGGAAGTAGGCGCCGGCGTCTTCCTCGGCCGGCTTACTGAACCCGGCGATAACTCCGGGCATCTTCGTGACAAGTTCACGCTCATTTACCAATCGCAGAACCTTGGCCTCTCGGGCCCCCAGCCACTCGGCGAACCCGTTTCCTACGTGCGGCTCGCCGAGGAGAAGACGGTGACTGAGGCCATGGCAATGCGGCACCCTCTAAGGTCATCCGCCACGAGCACAGCCAACGCCGGGCTGAGACTGTGACCCACAACGGTGATGCCGAGCTCTTTGCCTTTGTAGCGCTTCATCAGCCTCCTGACCTTGTCAACGACCGCATCGCATAGACTGGGAATTCTCTTGGAGCCGGTCTTGTAAAGCTACAGAAGCCGAACCTGACCTTCGCCTCAGGCAATTGCTCGGATTCCTGTGGGTTCTCCTTGTTGTGCGGTATCTCGACGAGATTCGCTCGAAAGTTCCCAGCCTACTCTATGGCGGTGCCAGTGCCGGTGCCCCGCAGGGCGATGACGATGTCGCACCAGCCGAGGCGGTTGATCTCGTCCTTGCTATCGCATAAAGCGACGAACCCAATCCAACTCGAGCGCTGCTCCACAGCAGCAACCTGTCGACCGATCGAGACGTCTCGATTGAGGAAGTGGCGTAGAGTCTACCTGTGATGCGGTAGAAGCGGTCCACGAGGGTGACGGATCGTGGGTTGGAGGGTAGCTTTTCTGGGTCGGCGTGAAAGGCTTGGTAGGTTGCGTGGAGGAACTCACCCTAGCGAACAATCTCCTGGCTGAGGTCCTCCTCCAGGGGGTCCAGAAGGCCAGACCATTCGTTGGCGCCCTGTAAGTTTCGCCACCAGCGGCCGATCATGTTGGGTTGTGAGGACCGAGGTAGGCCGGAAGCGAGTCATTGAATAAAGTTCAGGCTCCTTGGAGACATGGGTTCCGCCGTCCTCTCTGAGACGATGCTGGGGAGGTTGAGATCATCGACAAAGGCCCTGCCGCTGCCGTTTTCACAGTCACCGCTTCCGTTTCCGTCCGGATGAGAGGGAAGGAGAAGGGATTTGGCCATGGATTCCCGCCGTAGCAGACGGTTCACGTTGGCTAGGTGGATCTGATGCAGCACAAGGCAGCTCACCACGAGCTGCCGAGTTGGGAAGGGATCATGGAGTCGGTCAAGATGTGGAGTGGGAGACGCGTCACCACTACGAGCTTTCGGAGGACTTAAGAGGATATGGATCACGCCGGAGACCCAACTGCCCCTTTCGCTCACGTCGCGGCCATAAACGCCGGAAGACCTCTTGTTTTGGACATTGCGTATTGCATTTGAAGCATACTTTGCTTACCTGATCTTTTGATCCCGTCGCCCCGGCTTGGGTTGGTCGGAGGACCCCGGCGCCCCCCGGTCTGGAGCTTCTTCTCCCCTTCTCTTTCACTTCTCCAGCATTCCATCTCTCAGCCGCCGGTTTACCTCTTACCGTCTCCCACCCCTGCAGCCTTCCCTCTCTTCGCCGCCAGCTTACCCCTCGACGTCACCGCCTTAGCCGTATCCACAGCCAACCTCTCGCCGTCCTTGTAGCCCGCTGCCGCCGTCTGCCGTCGCCGTCGCCTCCATTCCCTTCTCTTCCACTTCTCCACCTCCGCCTTTGCCCTTTCATCTTCTCGACTTCTTCACCCTGTCTCGTTACTATTGCCACCTCCGCCATCATCTCTGTTTCCTACTGCCACCGCCACCGCTCTCATCGCCATTTTCCACCGCCGGTACCATTCCCCACCATCTATTGCCACCAACCGCCCCGTCGCCGTCGCCGTCGCCGCCGTCCGCTGTCAGCGTCTGCCGTTTTCCACCACCGATCGCTGCCACCTAAACCGCCAGCCGCCGCCACCGCCTCTGGCCTCCCCCAGTGCTGCCTTCGCCGCCACGTTCCCTCTTTCCGCCGTCGTCGTCTCCCTTCTCCTTTTACTGGACGGGTGCATTCTCATCCTAACAGTTGGGGTTAAAACTCCCTGGTTCATTGGGCAAAACAGGCCCATCTGTTGCCAGCCGGCTAGGACGGCCCAGTCCACTCAGGCATCAGGTCTGAACCAGAAGGGTTCGCTGGTTCGAGCCAACAGGAACCACCCGATCCGATCGTCATACCGGTCTGAACCATTTCCGAACCCCCGAACGCACCGGACCATACTACTGGGTCCAAACTTGATCTGCGCCACCTCGTCCAGCCATACAACCAGGTCCCCGGTCAATAGTCAACAGAAGTCAACGGTTAATGGTGGACGGTTGGTTAACGGAGCTCAGGGCTCAAGTACATTTCCTGCACCTTCTTAACTTCGCCTGTTCACTTCAGATATATTTTCTCGCTACGATGGCTTGAGAGATCATATGACAACTACCCTGCAAATTTGGTTGATCAGAACCAGTGATAAAATATTATCTGAATTGCTAAATTTAGGGTATCTTACTCAGCAGTTAATATTGACTGCTCGGTCCATTTGCTCTCCAATAAGGGGAGATTCTTGATAATCACGTGTTCCCTTACTATTTCCTTCTGCTATAGTTTATCGGGTTCATTTGATTTGTCTTCTTTATTCATTCATCCCGCATCACTTCGATTCCTCCCTCCTCGTCGGGGAGCTCCAGGTTGAGTAGCGAGTCTACGTACGAGAACTAGAAGCTATCCTCTCCCCTTTTCTCCATCCTCTTTGATCCGCTCCCGGCGGGCTTCGATGAACGGGGGAAAAAAGTTCTTCCCGCCCGCCGGTAATGTAAGAACTCCTTGCTCAGCTACGGGTGGGGCATCACCGTCGTCATGCTGCGGCGGAGATAGTGGCACCCACTCACAACGCACTCGTTCCCATTGCGATAGTGGTGACGTTTCAATATTTTTCGTCATATTATAATCAATTTACGTATTGGAGAAATGTTATCTCGGTGGAGTAATAATTACTCATAAGACCCTCAATGCATTATCTTATAACGCACATTTGAATAAACCGATAATGGGTAGGTATACTTGGTTCTTAGAGTCAAGTAGCAACCGTCCTGAGCTATAAGGAAATAAGACGTGCAGTCAACATACTCTCATTAAGATCACATAAAATGAGAATGCAGTGATTCATAAAAAAACCTTAACGGAATATTCAATCATAGACAATGTTTTTCGGTCAAATGTGTGCAAAGGTGAGATTGTTAAGCAAGTAATCCCACCTATGTTTTTCAAGTTTATCTCTACTGTTCTCTATACTTGTCTGCCGATATCGCTCTCCGGTCGTTCTCCTGTTTTATTAGGGCATCAGGAAGTGACGCTTCAAGGATGTGTTCTCCCTCTTGAAGCCTTCATAAGGGGAGCCCACCTCGACGTCTGCACGAAGAATTCATGAACTAACATCTACAGATTAATGAGCACGTGATTATTTATTATGAATATCATTTGGAATCTGGATACACCATTTTGAGTCTGCACGAAGAATTCATGAACTAACATCTACAGATTGATGAGCACGTGATTATTTATTATGAATATCATTTGGAATCTGGATACACCATTTTGACTTTTTATTAATTTTAACCATTCTATGTGGGATATGTATTTTTCTTAGGGCGCTCCAATTGAGCTGCGAGCCCCATACTTCTTGTCTGGTGGGTCACAACGTTATTATCAGCCGTTTTAAACTAAGTTATCTTCACGAGATATTCCGCTTTTATCATTCAGTGGTCAATGCTTGAATCGTTTTATTTAAGACGTGAAAATGGAAAAATTGCGTACATTTTTTCTTTGAATACATGAGATTTCTTCAATGGATAGTAAATAATAATGTCATTAATGAAAAACTAAATCAACCAAACTAATTTACATTTATTTCCACTTTCATAAAGTCTATATTTTTATTTAGGGCCGTCCAATTGGCCCGTGAGCCCCACGCTGCTTACCTACGTCAGAACATTATGATGGGCCGTTTCAAACAAGGTATCTTCGGGAGATATTTTACTGAACTAGGACCTCGGATTCATTGAACCGTGAATGTGTTTCTCACTCCGCCAACAAGGTCTGTCCTTCAATCTATATAACAAACGACCCAAGACCTCTGCTCCACAGTTAGGAGATGGACATTCTGGGACTCATCCTCCTCTCTCTCGCGCTTTCCCTCATCCTGGCTTTTTTCCTGTGTCCTCTATTCTTCAAGTCATGTCCGGAGCGAGGAAGCCTCTCCCCAGGTCCTCCGGCTTTCCCCCTCGTGGGCAACCTTTTTTGGCTACGCCACTCCTTTTGCGAAATCGAGTCTGTCCTCCGGCGCCTGCGGGATACGTACGGCCCCATGGTCACTATCCACATCGGCTTCGTTCCCACTGTTGTCATCTCCGACGCGGACCTCGCCTATAGTATCCTCGTCGAGAAAGGTTCCCTCTTCGCCGATCGCCCCCCAACGACTCCTGTTCTCCGGGTCCTCAGTGGAGACCAGTGCGTTGTGAGCGACTGCCGCTATGGACCTGCCTGGCGAGTTCTCCGCCGCAATATGACGGCGGTGATCCTCCACCCATCGCGTATCAAGGAGTTCTCACATTACCGTCGGCGGGCAGGCGGAGTCCATAAAGACGAGCTTCGCCGGCAGGCCGAAGTCGGGGAGCCGGTGGCGGTGCTGGACAGCTTCCGGTACGCCTTCATTTCTCTGTTCGCTTCGATGTGCTTCGGTGAGAACTTGGAGGAGAAGACCGTTCGGGAGATCCAGAGGGTTCAACACGACATCTCTGTCCATTTCGTCAAGGTCAACGTTTTTCTTATCCTCCCCCGAGTAGGAAACTATATTTACTGGCGCCTGTGGAGGAAGATCGGAGAAATTCGCCGCAGGCAGGAGGGCCTTCTTGTCCCATTGATCAAAGCCCGCCGGGAGCGGAGTGAAGAGATGAAGAAAAGGGGAGAGGATAGCTTCCAATTCTCGTATGGAGATTCGCTACTCAACCTGGAGCTCCCCGACGAGGAGGGGAGGAAGCGAAAGCTAAGAGAGGAGGAGATCATCTCCCTCTGTTCCGAGATTTTAACCGCCGGCACGGACACGACAGTGACTGTGCTGCAGTGGATAATGGCGAACTTGGTGAAGCACCAACACATACAAGCGAGGCTGTTCGAAGAAATCTCCGCCGTTGTCCGCGACGGGGAGGACGTGGAGGAGGAGGACCTGGGCAAGCTGCCCTTCCTCAGGGCCGTGATCATGGAAGGCCTTCGGCGGCATCCCCCGGCACACTTCCTCTTGCCTCATTCGCCAGTGGAGGATGCGACCGTTGAAGGGTACCTGATACCTCGGGGGACAAACGTCAATGTTACGGTGACGGAGATGAATTGGAACTCGAAGGTGTGGTCGAATCCAATGGAGTTCAGGCCGGAGCGATTTCTCCCCGGTGGAGAAGGCGAAGGGCTGGAGATAACCTGTAGGAAGGAAATAAAGATGCTGACTTTCGGGGCGGGGAGGAGGGCCTGCCCCGCGTTAGACCTGGCCATGCTACACCTCGGGTACTTCGTAGCCGATATGGTGCGGGAGTTCGAGTGGAACGCGGTCAATGGGGAGGACGTGGACATGTCAGAACAGATGGAGTTCACCATTGTCATGAAGACACCTCTGAAGGCCACTCTCCTGCCACGCGCGAGAAATACCAAGCAGATTCTGTAGCTCACGGTAGCCTATATAAAGTGGCTGTCGCGAAGGGATACTGTTGGCTGTGATTCTGATATAATGTATACTATTACGGGGTATGTATTGTCTTGGACCTTGTTATTTTCTGTTTCCTCTAACTCCAGATGAAGGATATATAAAACTTGACCGTGGGTGGCCTTTTTTCTCCTTCTTCCTCTATGTCCGGATCGCCTTTTTCTATGTTAACATGGTATTAGAGCTAGGCCGTAATATCCTTTCTCGCTTAGAGCTAGCTTACCATCCCTTCTCTCCACTTTTGAAGCCGCTGTGAATCGTATGACCCAAATGTATAGAAGTTTTCTTTACATGTTTGATTCATCTTCACTTGAGTTTGGCTTATTTGGAACAATTTATTGTTATTTATCTCTAAATGTTTATCAGATATATTTGGCAAATTATTCAACTACACATGTTAGCTCATTATTTTAATTGATATAGTGGAGGCGTAGGATTCAGACGCTATAATTACTTGGTTCAGTGGAACAAATTATTCTTATTGGAGTTTAAAAATGACCCATTTTTTGATAGGAATAAAAGATGTGGAAATATATAGATGGTACAGTTGATATGATATCCAAAAATAAATCTAGTATTATTAGCCAATTTTTTAAAGGCTAAAGCCTCTTGTGAGTATATGATCTCTATTAATAAACAATCAAATTCTTTGTGAGAAATATCAGCCTGAAAATATTCTACATGTTTATGTAGAATCGATCTACTTGCTCTCATGGAATCACAATATTCTACAAAATACTAATTTTACATAACATAGTGAAAGAATACGTCATCATAATGTTTTATGACTATTTGAGATAAGTTTTGTATTGTTCATAGGTCTTTGTTGCATCACTCTCATTTAACCAAAGTTTATGTTATACTTAGTGCGCTCCTTGGATATTTGGCGTAAAATAGGTTAGGTAATGCGTTTTTTGTACTAATCCTATGGTACATGTTTTTAGTGATAATTCTCTTCACCAGTTTGTAAAATCAATGCTTCATATCTATATCAATAAATGTAACTACTATTATACTAAAAGATATTGAAAAATGAATTATCATCAGTTAGTTGAGTAGACTTGGCCATGGGCATCATCAAAGACCATGACTTTTCAATATCAAAAATGAAAAGAAGAAAACAAGTACTTGGTTAAATTTATTTAACTAAATAAATTACCAATGAGTTGCTAGTTACAAGGATAATGGATGCTACTCATTTTTAATCATTTATTGAGATATACTTCCTTCTCTTTGTACTGGTAATTTCAATCCTTTTATTAAAGACAACAATGGAAAAATAGCATGCCTTTGATTGCGTGTACCTGAGATGTTTTAGTGGTTAGGGAATATAAGGTCTAGTGAAATATTAAATTCCCTAACCAAGCCATCCTTGAGTCCAGCCGACTCCGCCGTCACCACCGTTCTGCCTTCCGGCCGTCCGCTCTCGCAAAACCCTTTCTTTCTCCTGCCGTCGCCGCCGCTCCACCTTCCGGCCGTCCGCCCGTCACAAAACCCTCTCCTTTTCTCTCTCCTGCTGTCGCCACCGTCCGCCTTTTGGTCACCCACCCCGACGAAACCACCCTTTTCTCTCTCTCACCGTCGCCTCGATTCACCCCCTTTATCCCTCTGACCATTTGTTTGAACCACTCGGGCTGAACCTTCCTGCCACCTGATTCGAACCATTTGGGTCCCATCTCCTCCTTCATTCCCGCCCTTCTCCACGCCGTTGACGCTCATCATTGCTAGTTAGAAAATCTCTAACAAAGCTCGTAGAATCTAAGCCAACAAAAATCTTAAAAAAAATCAAGAATCTTCTTTGCAAATGTGTATTGATTTTCAAATTCTTATGAAGTTGGTTTGTTGATTTCAAATCACTGTTCTTAAAATTTGTGAGATTTATAGGATAGTCACTTTCATGTGAGAGATTATTGGTACAAACCTAGTTGAAAAGGTTTTTCTGATTCATTGAATTAAATATCCTAATTGGTAATTAATGATCGTAATTCTCCTCTAAAATCATAAAATAATTTAAGATATTAAGCCCTCATAGTTCTTACCCAAGTCAATTCTAAAGCCAATATGTTGTTTTCCTTAAAGGGATCCCTTCTTGCCTCCTTGTCCTACATTAGAGTATGTTCATTATCCCTTCTTGTTGTAAGAGGGCAAAACATCAAATGATCATTGCTAAATCATAGTTACTATGTTCACTTCTTTGGATGCCGGCCTAGTGTGGTATGCACTTGCATAGGGTATATTGGCCTACCACTAGAAACAATCATAAGAAATAAGTTATCTATAAAATGCCACAAACTTTAAATTCAAAGTTTTGATGGTATGATGGAGTGAATCTTGTTGAGTATGAATAAAATATTATCATTATTGAAATTAAAGAATAATTCTTTGATCATGTAAAAAGTTAAATGACTTTGCTATATTCCTTTAAGTCTCAATAAAAGAGTAATTGTAAAGTTATGCTCATGCTTTATGTTGAAAAATCTTAGAACAATAACAGTAGGTATAATTCATAAAAGAAATAATCACACTCTTGAACATGAATTGACGATGCAAAAACATATCACATAATGTTTTCCATATTTTTTAACCAAACATTTCTATGATATGAAGTAAATTATTGATATATTATAACATGATGGAAGATCATAAATATTTCCTATTTCTATGAATAGGTTCACACTTTGTGGTTCATATTGTTGGAAGAGAATAATGGTACATGAGTTATGAAGTTATTTAGAGAAAAATGTGACTTAATCAGCCAACAACTAAGAAAGAGATGTTATGGATTTAATAAATATTAATTGTGAGAAGTATATAGAGGATTCAGAAAAAAACTAAAAAACATTATAAGGAGAGTTCACAATTTTGTTTTAGTCAAAATAGGTTAAAAATAGGGTTTAAATTGATCAAAGCAAGAAAGGAAAGAATGTTTAGAGTACATGGTATTAAATGGAAAAACTAAAGATGATTCAGCTCTAATTAAAACTAGGATGGAAGAGGATTTTTCCCAAGAGAGTAAAATCTCACCAGAGTATGGTGTTAGAGAAAATTAGGTAGGTTGATTGGTCAAATTGATGAAGGTTAGGTAGGAGCAATAGTTAGACATAAGGTCCCTAGTGCATCACCATGTAATCCACAAGTAGGTATACCTTATTTTTAGAAAATAACAACTTTCTTAGATATGAAAAAATAAGGTGTACCATCAATGTAATATCACTAATATCACATGCAATGCAAATACATAGATTCCAAAAAAAAAAACCAGAGTATTCAATCAGAACAATGCCACAACGAAAATGTGTACAGAAGAAAGGTTACAAAACAAGTACTCAAAACAGATTCTTAACCTTCTTGGTTTCTTTTGTGTTGGCGACTAGAGTGGCTCTCTATGGGGTAAGCCACCCGAAAACCATTGGGGGCGAAACAATGTTGGTCTATATTTGTCTAAAATTGCAACAACATAGCTTGCCCCAAATTTATAATACAAGGTCAAAGCAACTTCATTAGGACATAGGGCACTAATAACATGTGATTCATACATACTAATGAGTATATTTAGATACTAATGGTGCCAAGTTCATATTGAATCACATATCATCAGCATTAATTCATGAAATATGAATTTCACATTGAATGGATGAAAACATTAGGAATTAGTTATTTTATGCTTAATTCTTCATGCATTTATTTACCTATTAGTTAGTTTGAATTTTGGAGTAAAATTAATAAAGTATGATTTAAACATTTGTGAATTTTTGAGAATTTTTGGAGCACATTTGATGTGATTATTCTAGGGTCAAGCATCAGAGTTTACTAATGAATAAAATTGCAAAACAATAAGAAATTAAAAGGTAAAATCGCCCATCCTTGCAGGCAGCAGACAACAAGTAGCGGGCAGTGGGGGCCAGCCTTGGTGGTAGACGCATGCTAAGTGGTGCCGAGTGGCAGTCCAATGGGCTGGATCGTGGAACAACTACAGGAGGAATCATGGATCGTCGGCAACAAAATAGAGGTGTGAAGACATAAAAATAGGAAATGGCAGCCGTAAAGGGTAACTTTTGGGCATATTTAGATTAGTTAAATCTCCTTTTATCCATGATGCACTTAAAATTTATTTTTAAAAAATAAACCTCCGAATCATTCAAAATTGATCCCATAAAAACCATCAACATAACTCAATTCCATCAATTGTTCTTCATGAGCTGACATCATCCACGTCAGCCGATTTTAAAGAAAAAATTTAGTATTAGTTGTTTCAAAGAAACATTCATAGAAATTATTAAGTTATCAAAAAAATCTGAATTTGTTCCAGAAAATCAAGATTTATATGTGCTTGACTTGGAGAAATCCCACTAATGTTGGACCTAAATTGGATGTTATATTAAATAGTATTTCAGAAAATTAATTCATAAAATTTCAAAAAGGGTATTGTCCTATTTAAAAAATCTAAATTTGCTAAGATTACTTAACAAAGAATAATCTAAATCAAGTTTTGGCACTATTTCCCGGGATAATCTACTGATTTCAGTTTAAACCATATTTTTCTTTAAGACAAATATATACAAATTATATATATATATTTATGGTGCCTTGATCTATTTATTAGTGTTGCAAGAAAAATTTATGGAAGGCAAGAGGTCAACATGAGCATAGTTTGGTAAAAAGAAAAAAAGCATTTTTTCTATTTTCTTATGAATTTTATTAGTCTTATTATCTCTTTTCTTTTATAAACTATAGACGGTCTTTGAAAAATCAAAAACTTAAATCTTATGACATTGAGATGAACCTTGAGGAGGATATGCAGCAAAACCTGATTCCCCAACCTAGAATTTTGCTTTAGAGGGACAATTTCATTCCATTAGTATGAGAAGAATTATTCCAGACTCCTACATGTGCTAGGGATATCAAACATAGTGTGATTCTAATGCTCCCAACATTTCATGAAAATAGAATGAAGATATTTA